CTTACCTCTGCCACCCTTCAGCAAGACTTTCTTTGCCTGGTCGCGACTACAAGTTGCACGTATCGCTCTCGCGGACAAGAGGGTCCGATGCTCATCATGACGAGGAGCATGGAGTTCGACTCTTTCCGAGATGTAATCCTTTCTTCCCCGCCAGGATGTGGTTTGTTACGTCTCATGTCTTTTGCTCCTTCGTCGTTGCACATGACAACACATCAGGATTCGCATCTCGTCCAAACCATCACCTTGTGATCGTTCCACCAGCGCTACATTCGTCTGGTGGACACATCAGAGGCACTGGCAGGCCGCCCGTTTCGAGCCCCTAGCCGTATCCTCTTGGGAATACGCGACCTGGCAAGAAGAATTTCAACGCTGGTAACGGTAACATCTCGTTGTCCGCCTCCTTTCCTCTTTCTCTTGCGCGCGCCGAGGATGCAAAATATGACTTGAAGCCTTCGTTCAGGATCCGACGTGTTATGGTCTCTGGTTACCTTTCGCTCAGTAAAGTTACTTGGGCTCGCTTTCATATCAAGGTCTAGTTGACACTTGTCACTTACGTTCCCCTGGCAAGCGATCGATGTTAATATCCATACTTCATAGTATCTAGTTGAGGTACTAGAATATAGCTTGGACGAAGATGGACTACTCTCACAAGGCTAATGAAGTTGGTCCAAAGCCCTCGCGGAACGAAGGCAAGTTCAAATCTCGATGTCAATAGCACCGGTCTAGCCGATGGACCTAAAACCGATTCATTGACAGCACAAGTCCTTTAAATAATAGAGGCCACTCTCTTGTCTGGATTGTGTTTTCAAAGGCCCGAGCTTGGGGGTGGGTTCTTATATTTACGCCCCGGCAATGGCGTGAGCTACAGCTTGGATACAGCAGCTGAGGACGCGAAGAACAGACGAACTAACTGTCCGTCCTGGATTGACGATTACATCTCGAGAGATTCGAACTCTATGCCAATAAGCATCGGACCATTTTGTCCGCGAATGTGGACTCGGACTCGGAGCCCTCGATGTGAATCCATGCCTGTTGCGAATCGAGTGTTGGCCATCAAAGTTCTATCACGGCGGGGAAAGCTACCAACGCCACGAGGAGACCTGGTAAAGGAATTGAGGATTGGGCTGGGATGTGGAGGTACAAGTTGGCCTGGGCGACGTTGAGGGGCTAGTCGCGGAAAGGAACGTAGGTAGGGATTCCGCCTGGACTAAGTATTTTGACACAGGTAGCCGGCGGTCCTAGTTTGGGTGACTGAACGCGAACCGTGTGATGATGCTGGACTATTTCACATAGCCGCATGAAGTTTGTGAGCAAGCTAGGTAAAGCAGAGGACAGAACGCACCGAATTCGTTCTCCCCATTGCGTCAACGACAAGACCAATTGTGATGTACTGTAGCTGTGCAGCTTCAGAAGTTCACGTTCACGTTCCAAGTAGACACCGTAATAGAAGGATGGTAGCAGAGGTTTCGTTGAGCTGGACTTGCATAAAATGTCGAGAAGGGAGTAGGGAGAAGCATACAAGGTGGCCTGGCATGTCGAGCGTCAGTGCGAGAGAGAGGACCGATCGGAGGATGCCGCCGGTTACTCCTTCTCTTCTCACGACCATAACAACCCATGCAATCGAAAACACTAAGCCCAGCCCAGCTGTATTTGGGTCGATATCCGCAACAGCGCTAGCCGACGGCCTTATCTTCTCTTCACAACAACACTCAAGACACGCGTCGTAAAGGTTCTTGTTATCGAGATGCGCTGATCACAAAACCTCAAATGCTTAACGAACGTTTATCCCCAGAAGAACACTGACATTGGTATCTACAGACACTAATACATTGTCAACCAAGGACTAGGTCTAACAAATGTCCATGTCAGCACGAAACCAACGAATACATCCAACAATAAATCTCACCTCGAACGGACGACTGCATGCCGACCCTTCCCTAATAGTTATGCGCGTAGCACATTTACTCACTACAGACACCAACACTCAGCCCGACAACGCGCCAAACGGAAGCAAAGCACTTACAGGAGCGACAAAGTGATGTCACCATTGACCTTGGCCTGGATGGCGATCTCAACCTCGAGGTTAAGGTCAAGACGAAGCTTCAAGGCAGCAGGAGGAGCAGCCTCGCGAGGGGTGCGACCGACAATCTGTCCGCCGAGGACGGAGGAGGATTGGGTGGGTGCGAATTTGGTTTCTGGGGCAGACATTGTGATGCTGGAGAGAGGGCATGGACTTGGTTGTCCTTTTATACGAGTATAGTCCCCCCTAGGACCGGGGCGAGAGCAACGTTATGGTGCGCGGTGCACGGTGCATTTAGCAACTCGGGTGCCTCTTGTTTGCATTTTGATTGAGTAGAGAAGACTGTATGGAGAGAAGGTTAAATTCCAGACGCGTATTGCATAAAACACGTGTTGCATGCACGTACGATTTTGAATACATACGAACACCCGGACACTTCTTGAGTCGCCTTCTGATATCACGCATACAGCCGCACGAAGCGCCCTCGTGTCCAGGAACCCCGAGCAAACGCGAAGGGAAGTTAGGAACGAAGCGCGCGCGCTATCATCCGGAAGGCAAGGATTCCCTTCAATACCAATGCTTGTTCCTTGTCTCCATTTGGAGGTGGAGCGACAAACGGTAACCAGTAACTAGTACCTGGCAGGGGTTTCCAACCCGACTCGAGGCAGAAAAAAAAAACTGAACGCAGTACCTTCTCGTAACAGTCTAGACTTGGGGGTGTCTTCGAGAGAGAAGGGAAAAAAAAAAAAAACTTTTGGTGTTCTGACGAACGAGGACTCGGGGGAAGACGTAGTAAAGACTAAAGAGAAAAGATTCAGAGGACAGGGCTCGACTCTCGAGAGTTCCCACGGCCGTATTTATTGCATTCTCACCACCATATCAAAATTTTATTCGTGCGCATGAACGACCGACAAGTTGGCTTCGATATATGTGATATGTATATTACGAAATAGCGATGGAAAGTCGCGACACGAGTCGAGAAACACCCTCCCAGGCAGCCCCCTACAACCCCGATGCTCGACTTTGCTACCCTGCAACGATGCAATTATAACGTTAACCTCTCGCCCCCATCCTAACCCGGAAAGGGCTTCGACACTCGTATAAAAGCACAACCAAGTTTACCCCCCTCTCTCCAGCATCACAATGTCTGCCCCAGAAACCAAATTCGCACCTACCCAATCCTCCTCCGTCCTCGGCGGACAAATCGTCGGTCGCACTCCTCGTGAGGCTGCTCCTCCCGCTGCCTTGAAGCTCCGTCTTGACCTCAACCTCGAGGTTGAGATTGCCATCCAGGCCAAGGTCAATGGTGACATCACCTTGTCGCTCCTGTAAGTGTAGTGCTTGCGTTTGACGCGTCGTCGGGCTGACTGTTGGTGTTTGCAGTGAGTAAATGTGCTACGCGCATAACTATTAGGGAGGGGTGGGCGTGCAGTCGTCCGTTCGAGGTGAGATTTATCATTGGATGTATTCGTCGGTTTCGTGCTGATATTTGTTAGACCTAGTAGTCCTTGGTTGACAGTGTATTAGTGTCTGTAGATACCAATGTCAGTGTTATTCTGGGGATAAACCTTCGTTAAGCATTCAAGATTTTTCGAGTAATGCATCTGGATAATAAGAATCTTTACGACGCATGCGCATGTTCCAAGTGTTGTGAAGAGAAGATAAGTCTGTCGCATGGTTGTGGTCGTAAGAAGAGAAGAGTAGCCGGCGGCATCCTCCGTCCTCTCTCGCATTGATGCTCAATATGCAAGGCCAACTTGTATCCTTCCACCAGGCTCAAGATTTTGCTTTCTGACTGTAGTATACCTTTCTCCAAAGTCTCGCAAACAGACCTCAGTCGCAACCCCGATCCTCCCTCTTATGACCGGGACCGCTCGTCCCGCCGACATCAATGAGTTCCTCACCTTCCTTCCCCAACAACATAAGCCACATCCAAACTGCACGAAACAGTCCAGCGTCGACACCGTCCAAACTAGACTTCAAGCCGGCTGCCTCTCTCTACGTTTACTCAACTTGACCTTAGCTCCTTCCTTAGTCACTACTAGTCGACATCATAACTAGCTCCATCCCAAGCCCCAGTCAAGTCGTACTACCCCCCAGTTCCCTCCAGCTTCCTCCCCGTGACAGAATGATGACCTCGCTCCAAAAGGGTTCACTATGGAGTTCTCAATCCAGGACGGTGATTCGGCCTCCGAGTTGGTTATTCGGGACGCGTGGGTTGGTAAGACACTGACAGAGGACTCGGATTCACTTCCCCTTCGGTCTTCGGTCCTCCATTCAAGACGAACTCTCTCTCTTTCCGCACCGTGTCGCGTTGGACCTTTTCATCCCTCCTCCTCGCCATCTCTTCGAATTATGCTTTGATGTTCGCTTTATCGATATGCGGTTTAGCAAGTACAACCGTGTATCTTCGCTTTCCCGAACGGAGCTGAGTACGAATCTCGACGATGAACGCGCAGGAGTTTTCGGCGGAAACAGGGCTCGCGAAGACGAATCAGGATGAAGCACATATTTATAAGCGCACTTCAAGTCCCACTCGAGTCTACGGAACTCCCTTTCTCGACGGTCTACCAGGATCAGGAAAGAGCTGATTCCGACATACTGCGGTATTACAGTGAGTTTACGATGACGGCGAAACCATCCATATGTTCACAGTTGACATCGAAAGGGCCAACTCGTTCTGATTCATACCGCTATCCCGTGTTCTCAAAGTCCAATCCAATTGGCATATGGGTAGTATTGTTGTTTCTTTCGAGGCCTTCTATTAGTGATATACCTTCTTCAAAGTCTCGCCGCTGCCCAAAGAGGAGCTCAGTCGCAGCCCCGATCATTGCTCGGCCACCTTCTTGTCTTACACTTTTGAAGGAATAAACGGAACGTAGTTAGGGAATCGGACCTTCCTAGACTATTTCAACATACTAGGGGACAAGGTAATCGGAGGTCCTGATTCGGGTGACTGTGGACGTTTTGTGGACGTGATGACAGCGGACCGTGTGATGGAGACGTCGATGGTGCAGGCTATTCAGTATTGCATGTAGCTGCACGAAGTTTGTGAGCGAGCTAGGTAAAGCAGAGGGCAGAACACACCTTCGGAATTCTCTCCCTCTCCTGCATTGACAACGAGACCAATTTTGGAACGTCGCTGCGAGAGAGAGGAACATGCCGCCGGATCGACATCCAAGCGCTAGTCAACGGGCTTACTTAGTCTTCTCTTCACAACAACATTTGGAACAGTTCTCATATCGACGCAAATGCAAAAGTTTATCTCCAGAATAACACTGACATTGGTAACTAATACACTGTCAACCAAATATCAGTACGGAACCAAAGAACACGGCCATAAAATCTCACCTTGAACCTATATAATGCGCGTAGCACATTTACCCATGGCTGCCGGACCGTGAACGCAACCACTCTACACATCCAACAACTCTCTCACCTCCTCACACCCACCCTTTCGACAACGATGGACCTCCGACCGTCCAAAATCAAAAAACTTGAACGTCCCCTCCCCAGTCCTCGCCACATTCCGCGGTTCGAGATCCCCATGCATGACACCCAACGAGTGCAGCTTCTTCACTGAATCGACGAGATTTTTCCTTACATAAAGCAATCAGTTAAAAATCAAGTCGAAGAGATGACGAGGATGCCTTACCACTCCACCACACCCAAATCCACCTTCACATCACCCCACTCCGAGCCATACACATCCTCAAGACTCTCCCCAACGTTCTCAAGCAAGAACCCAAACCAGCCACCAGCCGGCCTCTGGAACGTCCCATAAAACTGAGGGACGAGGGAACACCCCTTGAGCACCACCTCGTACATGTACAGCTCACGCAAGACCATCTCCGAGTGACGTTCCGACACGAGCTTCATGATGCACAGCTTGTCGGCACCTTCGAGGTGACATGTGTATATGCTGCTCCATCTACTCGCTCGAATCTGTTCGAGAAGAGTCACCGTGTTAACGTCTATTGACGGAATGCGGGGAGCACAAATTAGGTTCCGCGGCTGCAGGGAAGAGGGTTAGAGTGGTTTCGTCGAGAGAGATGGAGCCTCTTCACTGCTAGGATGTTCTGAACATCTAAATTTAAAAGACGTTGAGGTGGGTTTCCGATGATAGATATACGGTGTATGTCGCTACAGTTCAACCACGGATGCTGCAATATCATCTAATGAAGTGTATCAGCAATCTTCCACTATCTGAATACCGGAAAACACACACAGCATTGGTTCCGACTTGAACAGAACACGCAGGGATACCATCTCGGTCTTCGTCATTATCACCTGGGTCGTGTTCATCTTCTTCATATGGCAGAGGCTGGTAAAAAGCAGCAGGCGGGCTCTTGACTTCATGTCCAGAAACCAGATTGGCGCATAACATAGCGACGAGTATGGCAAGGAACGGCTCGGGTTGTATGTTTGCCTGAAACGGCGTGAGCGTTTCTGGAGTTGGAAAGGCCTCATTGGAAAGTCTGAACGGAGGCGAAAGCAGGAGGATGAGTCCTGGACGAGAGGGGTCCGTGGACTTGACTACAAACGGTGGGTAAGAATAAAAGGCCACGGGAGATGAAGAGAGGCTCACCAAGCTGTGCAGCAATCGCGATATATCCACCAAAGAAAAAGCCAAACTCGGCGTTTGCAGCTACCATTTGCAGTGCAAGCTAGTAGAATTGCATGAGACAGCAGCATAATATGATACTCGACGAACACTCACTTTCACGACCATGGCCTTGGCACCAGTTTGCTTCTGAGTGGCATCAAGACTGAATGGCATACTCAACGCCTCCGTCTTTGAAAGCAGCACCCAATAAGCCTTATCCTCATCAGAACAAGCTTTTAGGGGCACAATTTCAAAGCGACCGTCCTCAGTCTTGTTCCGTCGGCCAACAATAAAGTTGAAATGGCCAAGGGACCATTGGGGTATAGCGACAGGTACGCGCTTCACACCGATGCCACCTGCGAGACCAGCAGCCGCAGCGATAGCCTCGACAACAGGGTGCACTGCTTCAGCGACATAGCCGCCATACTGGCTCACCTGGGTCTCGTTCCGGAAACACACCTCTGACATATTATTCAAGGCATGCTGCATCGACTGACATGACGCTTCTCCAATACTGAGGTCATTGACCACTCCACTGATGAACTCTTTGAGGTTTAGGAGGAGATCGGGGTATATCCGGGAGGAGATGAAACGATATTTCGGAGGGGGAGGGTCTTTGGCTGTATAATCTGCAGTCGAAGTCGAACTTTTCGCCTCCGAATGCAGCTTAGGTTGATCTGGAAGGAACGTTAAGAGCTCCTTGATACTGGTGGGACAGGCGGCATCCATGATGGTAGTGGTGTAGCCTGAGACTGGTAAACGAGCCTAAGACCTTGACAAGCAAGGTAACAATTTTTAAATAAAAACAGTTTACAAATAGTTTACAAGCTGTTTTCGAACTGTTTCCGTTTAGTTTACCTGAATGGTCAAACATAAACTAAACAGTTGGAGCCCTAGTTTGAACCTGGGTCGACTCTGGTTCTATGGGCGTAATCCGCCAAGTTTCTTGCCGAAAGGTCCATCACGTGACTCCGCCAAGAGAACAAAGACATCCTTGTACTCTTTGTGTCTCCTTATTGTTCTCGTATGGCACATATAAAAACCTCACCGGCCCCGTTCACAATGTTCCCCACCATTTTCTCTCCCATCCAGCCTGGTGCTCTTTTCCTGTTCTTTCTAATTCGATGATGCTTGCATCCATTCTCTTTGTTTCCGCCCTCTTCCTCGCTACACACGCGGCTCCCACAGCCTCACTCGACGCTTCCTCTCTCCTTGCGAACGGCCGAGCAGCCCAAGCCCAGAACGTCGCTTTTCAGAACCTCAGCGTTAATGATACGTGTTCCAGTGTGTCTCGTCCCTTCCCCCATCTTCCCACTTACTCACCCTCTTTCTCTTTCTAGCCGGCGAAGTGGCGTGTATATCCGGAGACGTAGCTCAGTGCGCGGATAACCAATGGACGACCTCCCCCTGTTCGGGCTCGGCGCAGTGTTTCGCTATCCCATCTGTGAGAGGGAACGGGACTGTGCGTAGTAGCTTTTTTTTCTCTTTCATTGATCACCTTGGGCTGATTTTGTGTATGTAGTTCATACAGTGCACGAGCGAGAAAGACGTTACGTCCGTGATCGATGCTACGGGCGCCACTGGGGGCATCTTTGACACCGACGCGTCCAATTCCACCGCTAGTGCCAACTCCACGGATACCGCGTCTAGCGCCAATTCCACGGATAGTTCTGCTACCAGTTCCAATTCCACGGACACAACGTCTAGTACCTCCACCGACGACAGTGGGGTCGTCACCGTGACAATAACCCTCACTCCCACAGCGACGGTATTCGTGAGCACCGAGGTACCCGTCACGACGACGCTCTCGCCTGACGAGGCCTCGAGTCTTCTCGCGAGTTTGACAGGCGTGGCTGGTGGTTCTGTTATCACGGCCTCCCCTGTTAGTGCCACTGATGCAGCGGACGTGGCCACTGGTGCAGTTTCCTCGGGCTCTGCAGCTTCGACGATCTCTCTCGTTCCTGCTTCAGCTGCCACGTCGTAAACGCACATTGTTCTTTGTTATGAACGTCACGTACAGAAGGGTAGATAGTAGCTGGTTCACTACGTTACGAGGATATGTATTGTACTGTATCATAGGTGTAATAGAAGGAGCATTTGACTGGATGATGCTATTTCCATAGAAGCGGTTTTTGACAAGTCGAAGAACACTGCAGCATACATCGACTCACAGTGGCGAGAGAGAGATCGCGCATATAAGCAAGAAGACATTCCGTGTCGGCGTACATCCCCCAAGTTGAACGCTAGCTCCTAGCTTCGCTCGCTGTACACCTAGATCAACGCACTCCCACCTCTAAGCTTCTAACCGTAATTCTTAGATAACTCTCCAAATAATGATAGAGAAAAAAGTATGGACCACGACGGTGATATTCAGAAGTTATGTAGCCGATCCAGATTCGAACTGGAGATCAATGCGACAAGCCATTGCACTATCGACCCACAGCAGGAAGGTCGCGCATAGGCCAATCCAAGGAAGTATATGTAACGAGGCCATCCGACATCAGACTCTATACGCCGGCCTTTCCTCTCATACAAGCCAAAACCAGACAAGGTCAGGTCGTACGTACTACGGCCAAAAAAACCTACAATTGTCAACACATTGAGTCAGCCCAGGTTCGAACTGAAGCTCGATGCGAAATGCAGCTGCACCATCGACCCATGTGCATATAAGGAGGCGATCCGGACAGGATGGAAAGTTGTTAGTACACCGCAGGCATCCTCGCCCACACAACAGGTCGCACAGCCAAAATGCGTTACCCGATGAACGCCGGTGGATGAGTAGACCTAGGTTCGAGATCAGTGCGACAAGCAGCTGCCCTATCGACCCGCATTGAGGGACCCACGTTCGATGTATAATGCGAAGGGACGATCCGAACAGGGTGAGAAGGAAGGCATTCAGAGAACACGCAAGCATCCCCTACCCACACAAAGAGACAGAGATGCATGTCTGTAGCACGGCCAAAAATTGCCATTGGTACACTGAACCATTGAGTAGACCCAGGCTCGAACTGGAGATTAATGCGACAACTTGAAGCTGCTGCACTATCGACCCATGGACTGCAGGTGCGGATCACGGAAAGGCCGGCCGGCTGTCAGTGTACAGAGGATCCCACTGTATCATTATCATGAGCAGGCTTCCGAAAAGACCAAAAAATCGATGTTGGGCCCGCTAAGATCGGAGCGAGGGGCGGGGCAGGCACTCCCTCCTCTAACTCTTGTAAAATTGTAAGAAAGTCTAAAACGTTAAACGCACTCGCTAAAACCAAAAATATTAACAGCGGAATACAGTAAGTCGACCCAGGTTCGAACTGAGGACCTTCCGTGTATACAGAATTCAGAAAGGATGTTAGACAGATGCGATAACCAGCTACGCCATTGACCCAGCGAGTAGAATTTAGGGATACTAGATCTCGGTGAGCGCACGTATGAAAAGGCGAGAAAGCAAACAAGACCTGGAGGAACTACCTCTCATGAAAGCAAGCACTATCTTGTAGTCATCAGCCGAGAAGAGCTGGAATGCAAACCGGTAGCCTAAGCAGAAGAAAGATGAGCGAGGCGGCACCCTCCTATAAGCGTAGGATGTCCGACGTGGGAGGAGGCCAAGCTCTCGCCGTCGGAAGAGAAAAGACGCCGTGGCTGTAACGCGTGGGGCACCTGCGTCTGTTGGAATTGTTTAGACACAGCGGGTGAGATGATGCAAAGATGGACTTACCATATCTAAGTGATACACATTGCCACGAACGACCAGCAGGCCTTGTAGTTCCCGAAATCTGGACATAACACCCATCTGACGAATGGTAATGTCTGCCGTTCGATTCGACTTGCACAGGAAAATAAAAACTGAGGGGTATTCGTTATTCAAAGTTCGAACGTCGTCCCTATTGACGGGCAAATTTCAACAAGGTCATACGGTAACCCATCTGGCATCCATCGACTATCCATTTCAGTGTCCACGAGACTGAGGATAAAAATCCGCTGGTTACATCCTGATGAGCCGACCCAGATTCGAACTGAGGATCTGTAAGCCAGATGCGATAACCAACTTCGCCATCGACACGTATGGTAGGGTGTCGGCAAGTGTTTCAGTGACCACGCGCGCAAAATCGTGAATGAGCGGGTATCCGAAATCCAAGGATCCCGGTGTAAACATGGAATTGGACTCCACGCTCGGAATCTTTGCTAGGTGCGGGACTCGTGATTTGTGGAGATTGAAGATGCGATAACGGAATGTGTCTCGCGAGTGAATGGATGAAGTATGATCTAGACGTGTTGGTGCTTGGGTACCTAGATGTGTATCAGTATGACGAGCAGTCCTAGTCGATGATGTTACTAACCAGAAGTTTTCTAACACCTCAGCAAACGTAGAGCGTCCCCAACTCCCCAAGCCCAGACCATTACTCGCATACGAAGTTACAGGACTCGTGTCAAGTTAACTGATCAGTCACTTTTTTATCTTCTGGTTCGGAATCCGGGCATGTGTAACACATCCACCACGGAGAGCAATGATGATCTAACGCGTATCTGAATCTTTTTGGAGTACGACAGCCAGAAATCTTAGACAGGTCCCTCGCCGACAAGCACCATTGGATACATGCCACTTCCCATTCGCATGATAAGAGTTTGGTTCTGCTCCATATCCGTGAACAGGCCACGAATGTGTGCGCCGACCTGAGGTCATCGAACCATCTGCATGGATTTGAACAAGTCTCTCAAGAACCGTAAATTTTGTTGTCACAAGCGTCGGATAGCCGGACCACGTTCTTGCAGCTTGACTTGACGGTCCATTGACGTCGCAGTCTTGGGGTTTCCTTCGTCCTCCATGACCGGAAGGGTAACAGGATGAAAGATGGTCGCAATGGTTGGCTGAAACAGGATGATGAGCTTCGGCATTGGACTATGTCACGCTGCATACCTTTCACGTATGTAATGTTTCTATGACGGAATTCACTTTGACCCAACATTCATGCATGCTGGCTACGGCATGCATGTAATAGCCGTTTGCATTAGTATCGATATGGGACATCGAGTTAAGGGGGAGACGGAAAGAGATGAGAATTCAAAGTAATGAATACAAGTCAAAGACTTTGCTTTAGCGATTTCGGGCGTAGTGATGTTGGACTGAAGACGTTCTCATAGAACTGGAAAGCTGGATTGATTGGCCATCTCCGCTTAGTCAGCACCCAGTCCCAAGCCCGGCCCGGGACGCTCTTCGGGTCTGCCAATTTGCTCCCAACTTGAACCTTCTACCCCGTGAGTAAACGCTTTCTTCTGCCAGTCAAATATAGACGCAAATTACTGTTACATTAGGTTCAAGGACTGCTGGATGTACTCTCTTCCGATATCTAATTTAGACCTCATTTTGCCACCTGTACCACCTGTAAATGTTCGTCTTCTCAAATCTCCTTGTTGTACGTGCAATGTCCCTTCTATCTTTTCTTATCTCTAAATGTGCCGGTGCAGAGGGAAACCTGGTCTAACCGGACCTAAGCTCTACCTGTGGTTCTTGGAAACTTAAGCGCCCCCTTATTCCTCAGCGGTCCACTTCCGGCATGGCATGCCTATTCACTCGGCTATTCCGTTTCGCAGCAGTCTATATCATCTGCTCGGATTACCCTGTCTGCCGGGTTCATTGCTGGTTTCCACTCGGGTTCTAGTGTCTATAAATCCTCGAGGCGTGGTTCAATGTTGTCGTGCTAGAAAAATCAACCACCAGATGATAGTACCTTCTGCGCTTGTTCGTGTAGCTTCTGACTGTGAGAAACTCATGCTGCTATCGTTGGCTGTTCAAAACCAGCGAGCATCTTTCAGAGTCGGGTGACTTGTGCTGGCAGGCAAGCGTCTGCCAACAGCCATCGCCTCTTCTCCAGAAGGACTCTCATGTGGCATATGAATTGAATGATGGAGTTGGAGTAAAAAAGACACGGTGTGTGCTTGTGCTTAAGTCTGGAATATTTTTGGCGCCTTTTCAGATAAGCGCCCATGCCTCACCCAGACCGATATTCATAGACCCTGATGTGAAATGCATTTGTAAGTACCATCTAGGTAATTCGTTGATTGCGCGACCTGATTGCGTATTTATCGAAAGGTTGTGCTACAGGATAACGGCGCTGGATGCCATTGCAATGTAAGAACTTAAACGGATAGTCTATAAGGAATATATCACGAGTTACTGAAGTTCTGGGACTCAGTAATTCCGTAAGTCTGAACCTCGATTTTCTTCAGCTTATTCTAGTAACAGATCACAATACTCCAGGTCCAGTTTCCTACCAGTAGTGCAAGTGAGAAGGCACCTTTCCCCGGATCTCAAATGAGAAGAAGGGCACAAATGCTCTATGTGAATGAAGGGCTTGGGAAACATTCCAGCTGCCAGCACAGGCTGGCCTAGTTCTGACAGATCCTGATAGAAGGTCAAACTTTCAAGTCACCGTCAGCTGTTCCAACTCAAGTTCGCCAAATCAGCCATATTCTCCTTAAAGCATCTCCAAGTCGGGTATGTTTATTTAAGAATATGAAGTTTGTCTATCAGTACTCAAGTTTTAGTTGCCAACTTTCGTCTGTTTTGGATGTCATCACGGCCATGTTGTGCTAGGGCACGTCGTGTCGCCATCATGATCGTGGCACCAGCACTTGATACACCAGCTTCTACTGCTTTTAGGGCCGGGCTAGTCTTGAGCCTCTGGGATACATCGGTTGCATCTCCTGATTGCTCATTTTGAGAAGTACAACTTGTAGGTACCAACCAATACACACTGCCGTCGTTGCTCCATCATTGGATGGTTTAAGCAGGAAGATTGACAGTAAGTCGCGATTGCAATAGTCCAGAGGATGAAACTCTAGGTGCCAGCACAAAAAAGCTGAGCTTCAGTGTGTCGGTTTTGACTGACTAAGGCACATGGTAGGTGGTTGACATCGCTATATTTGCTCATGGAGTCTGAATTGTCCAAAGCGCCCCATACTCAGTTATACATATGGTGCCCAGTTCTTCAGCCCACCCCTCGTTTATGCGTCAGGTCTCGGTGACATCAAGTATGTTCTTCATCCTGGATGTCTTTGGTCAAAGATCATCCATGATCATCTAGCAGAGTCACCAGTTGCATTCATCATAAGGTCCGACTCTTTGACTTGCTCTCGCATACTCATCATGGTAGTCACGAGAGGATTGGAGGGCTCGGTACTCCCACTGTGGGTTCCTCAATCGTGAGATGTAACTGCTGCATGCTCAGCTCTCTCCTTAGCAAGCTAGCTTGAAGAAGCTCGAAGACACTCAATAGACGCCCGGTACTTTGAATATAGCGCCTCTGACAGGTACGAGTACGAGCTGGATCTTCCTTGAGTGATTCAACCACGCTTTATTCTCGCACCGAGACAACGGGAAATAATTTATAGTCAGCCAGAATTTGCGGACAAAGTCGAAGTAGACTTGGTGATTTTATGTGCTCCCAAATCACATTTCCTGGGAAACATTGGATTTCGGACGTGGTATGGGGCAAATTTCACTCATTCTGAGACAGCTACCTCCTAAACTGACTGGTCTGTCCATATACAGGCCTGCGAGAAATGTTTCCGATCCGTATTTTCTTAATTAATAAAACTTGCTGGGATCTACAGCAAAATTCTCTTCGTTAAGATATATAAGCTCTCCCATCCTGTTCCCTTCCACAGCGTCAAGCACCTCCCGCATCTTTGTTTGACTTGTATGTCCTATTCTCTTACCATGCTCTCTCTCACTTTATATCTCTGACAGCACCCGATAGCCAACTTCACTTCCAAGGTATGCAGCTATTATCCTCAAAGATTACCTGCGATACTGAAGAACGTTCCTTGCCAGACAACTATCATGAGCGTTTTTATTGCGGTAACCTCATTCACCATCACCAACGCCGGGACCGTAGATGGCGTTATCAGTGACCCCGGCGGCGCTATCACCCAACTACCCGTACATGCTTCAGCATCGTTCGCTATACCAGGACCATACACCATCAACCTCAACAACGTCATTGGGGCCACCATGAACTTCAACGATGGAAATCTCAATATTAACAAAGCGGCAGGGACCGTACCCGGCGCTGAGTTCACGGTTGCCGTTACCGTGGCTTGATGAGAGAATTGCACATCGCAGCTGTATGTCTAATGATAGTACTCTGTAACATTCCCTCACTGCTGTCCCTTTTTCTAGTCAGCGCCACCAGCTAGCGCCTTTCCGACACATTCATTGTTTTCACCGACAGCATCCTTATTCAAATATCTCAAAAAAACTCATCCTTGTTGTTTGTTTTAACCGACCGCGTTCATTCCTCACTCGTCCTATATTCTATTTCTTTAGTCACTACCCAGTTCCGTGCTCGCTCAACGTCCCCCAAATTCTGATATTCGTCTCAACTA